TCCTCCCCCCCCCCTTTCCTCCCATTCCCCCTTCTTTTTCCACCTCCTTGTTCTTGCATATCTCCAATTCGCTGTAGGGCAATTTACTATCATAGAAAACACATTTGAAAAAAGATGTCTAAGAATTTCCTGAGTTCTGGTTTTGCATCGAAATCAGTAAAATTTCTTATTTCCAATGATTTTTGTTTCCATCTTTTTTCAATTTTTGCTTGCGTGTCGGATATATTGATGCCCAAAGTAATCATCGAAACCTTTTGAGAATGTACGAGTAAGACGTACGGCCTTTTTGCAACATGGTGTTATAATTTATTATACATGTACTGTACTTTGAAAGCTATTTTATGCTACATAATTCGGTCATATTGTGCGTCGATGTCTTTCCACTACTGGTACCTGCATTTTGTTACTTCTACTATGAAGGAAAGTTACTTTTTGCATATCGTGTATTATGTTACATATTTTGTTAACTTACAGATTCCGTTGGCAACCACTCGTGATTTTATAAATTATAATTAATGGTTTTATGCTGTCAGGTAACAAGGGCGTAACTCGCTCATTCCCATGACATTTGATGATTTAATGAATATTCATGTACATTCCTTCTAAATGTTTACAATAAATTAATGCTGCTTTATTCATGATCACACAAACCCTACATGTTTATAGAAATAGGTGAAACTGTATCATTCCACACCTCAGTCAACACTTCACTTTTCCCACTTTTTCATCCTCTGTTGCCGTCAGTTAAGCGTTTAGGGGAGATGCAGTTAGTTTTCTATGGTAGGCCAGCTCCGCAGCTCTTTCAGTTGTGATGTTATGTTTTCTTAGGGTTTCCTTGACACATTCGATCCACCTTTTGCGTGGCCTTCCTCTTCCTTTATAGTCTGAATGCTTGGTGTTGTAGGCTCTCGAGGCTAGCTGGTCAGGTGACATGCGTAACAGGTGGCCCAACCTTTTTATCCTCTGTCTTTCTATGTAACGCAGGCAGGACTCAGTGCCGATAGCTGCTCTTACTTCTTCATTTTTCTGCCTGTCTGATGTTAAGTGGAGCAAAATATTTCTGGATTTTAATCAATAAATTATACATGTGGTTTGTTTTATACATTTATTGTCGATTCCAAAATGTACTGTAGCTTTCCCTTATTGTAATCCTTGACGGTTTTTTAATATTATCACTTTGTGTTTTGTTTGTTGTTTTTGTTTTTATGAGAAAGAACTGCTGTTAATGCGAGTCAGAGAAAAAGATAACAGTTACCAGTTGTTTTTATGACGTCTTTAGAGTGCGGTCAAGAATTCATGGGATTGTTCACAGCAGTTCCGCTTCTCACACACATTTTGTACACGCATATGGCCTACGTCACAGCTCACCAATGAGACTTTTTTAAAGTGGTAAAACTACTTACAAGAAATTAATTGTATAGTGAACACTTTTTTTTTACACTAAAAGTTCTCAAGACATGCGTTCAATAAAAATAATGTCGTAATTAGAAAAACGTGACGGACTTCTTTTTAAAAGTGATATTGTCCCAGCTGTAAACCTTTTAAAATCCTCTGTAGAAGCCACCCACTGGGATTTTTCATTAGTATTTGTGAGGCAGCGTGGTGGAATCAGGCTCTCGTCAATTTTTGGGCATGTAGAGTTATTAGTATCATCTTAAAACTTGGTCACTTATCTTAAGTTGGATGAAAAAAGTGTCCATTTATCTTGAATACAAATCGAGATATTTGCGAAAGAAGGAGGTGGGGGTCACCTGTTTTCAGAGGAAAAATTAGTGAGAAAATGACCGCCAAAGATTAGTTATTTCCTTAGTTTAAGAGTCCGTGGTAACTGAAAAATTACATTTTTTGTGTCTTTAATTAACGTTTTTCAGAAAAATCCACACAGAAATGAGTTCTTTCATGGACATGAAAGGTGTTGGGCCAAAAAACATAAATTTGATAAAAATTTTCAAACCTTCGAAAAATTGCACGCTTCTTCAATTTGATTACTTTGACGAGAGCCTGATTCCACCACGCTGCCTCAAATTTATTAAAGAATTTTCTAGAATAGGGCCAACGGGTGTTTACAAAAATATTAATCTGTTAAGACAAATTGATAAAAATCACTGTACAAAAGCTAGATAGTTGAGGAGATATTTGACAATAAGTTGCGCCACAAATTTTTGACCGCACTATAACCATGCGCGCCGGAGAAAAAGATAACAGTTATCAGTTGTCTTTTATGACGCTCTTAATTCATCATAGACTTGGGCAATTTCAACGCCTGGCCATGTACATTATTAAGTATTTTATCTTTATGAGTCGGTAATCTTGTGTATCGTTAAATGTAAAATGCTTGGAGGATTGCGCAGTAACCATGCTGACTGCTGTTATCATCATCATCATCATCATCATCATCATCATAATCATCATCATCATCATCATCATCATCATCATCATCATCATTATCATCTCGAAGATTTTTTTTTTTTAATTTTAATTGGTGGAAACAGAAGAATTTCCAATATTTATAACACGTCAAAGTTCAACGTTTCGCCCATTTTCATCGCCATCATCACCACCACCATCATCATCATCATCATCGTCATCATCATCATCATCATCATCATCATCACTATCATCATATTATCATCATATAGTGTCTTTTCGTGTGCCAACAATAATACTATATTTATAGAAGCTAACGTCAATGTCCAGTACCTA